AATTTAATTTTTGAGAATTCATGAGGACATTAACTACGACGCTTCACGCCGTCATATTTGATGAAACGCGTTAGCGCTTCATCATAAATATGCAGGCGTGAAGCATTGTAGTTCATGTACCTCATGAATTCTCAAATATTAAATTCATGTCTTATATTTACATTATTTTTCTGATGACATGCCAAATATTTTTGTCATTCAACGATCATTTTTGAAAAAAAAAGTTTGCACTATTTCTTGACTTCAGTCACATCACCATGGAAATATTCTTACTCATCCATGGTAGTTCATGAGAACATTAACTTTTCTAATTTGCAAAGAATTTTAAGAAGAAATATTTCGAAATGTAAATATTTTACCATATTATCATTCTGTGAGATTTTATTTGAGACTACTATGTGCCAATCTCAAGACTTTCTGAGAAATCTCAGATTTTTTTCTCAGCTTAATCTGAAAAACGTTGTTGGCACGCATGTTTGAGAAAAATCTCAGATTTGAGAAAGATCTCAGATTTGTGGAAAAAACTCGAAAGATTAGTCTGAGTTGAGAAAATATTTATTTTGTGGCACGAGAAAAACTCACATTTTCTGAGACATCTGAGATTTGAGAAAATCTCAACGTTGGTGGCCCCGAAGCCTGGTGTTGAAGGGGCTGATGATATTTTCTTTAGTGGGGGAAACCTTGCTTCATTGGCGAGTCTGGGCATCGATTCTACAATCTCTTCAAACACCTCCTGCATTTGAGCATCTGAGAACTTCCAGGCATAAAGCGAAAGACGGTCATCTTCTGCTTTCAAGATGTCCACTACTGGTGCCTTCTCCATTTGTGACTTTATCTCAGGTTCCTTATTGGTGGTGTTACTTGTCTAGTCTTGCAGAGCTTGATTCCTTCTCCATGACTCTTCTAGTATCTTCAGATCTAGTTCTCATTTTGTTGATTCTCTTTCTTCTCCTGCTTGTGACTCGGACTTCTCTGGTGTGACCTTTTTCTGTTGTTCTGCTGGATTTGATGACGTTCTGAGGGCGTTCGTCTCTGATCTTCCTGCTTCACAAAAATTCTGGTTCAAACTTTTCATAAATTTGCGGTGTTCCTCTGCCTCCTCTGCTATGTATGTGTCGGTGGATTTCTTCCTCGGCAGAAGAAATCTGCCCGAATGGTTGTGAGGCTGGTTAAAACATTCAAACAAATGGTGCACTGATAGCCAAAGCCGCTATGCTTCTCAAACACGTGCCACTCACATAGACTTCGCCGCTCAAAGGACAGCTTAGGACACTTCGTGCAGTGAAACATGGTAAGCTGCAATTTAATATATAATTAAAAGTATCTTGAAGAAATTATAGGTAATATTTACTTTGGATGATGAGTCGCCCGCGTGGCGCAGTGGTTAGAGATTGATTGATTAATGTTTTACGCCGAATCGGCACTATTTCAGTCATATATCGGCGATAAAAAGTTATATCGTGTGGCCAGTTTTGAAAGTTTTGGGTTTCTCTGAGTGAGCCTACTCTTTTTCGAAAACCAGAAAAACGATCTTTTACGTGCCAAGGGGGTTGTAATCCTTGTCACGGGGCACCATTTTACGTCCCATCCGACGGACCTTAAAAATTTATACAAGCAGCTAAATTATTAATCACAAACAATTGTTAATTAAAATGTATTCATTTACATCAGTTTCTTGTAAGTACTTTAAAATTGTAAAAGGATTAGTGTTTTTAAAAAGATCATGCATTGTATGCACATTATTAAAGAGTCTACTACGTATAGGCGAAAAATCGGAACATTCTAATAGTAAATGTTGTATAGTTATTGCATAGTCACACGAGATACATTCAGGTTGATGTTCCCTGTTAAGTAAACATGAATGAGTAAACCTTGAATGTCCGATGCGTAATCTTGATATAATGACTTCGTCCTGACGTTTCAGGCCGAAATCAAATGATTGATTGACTTTGTTCTGTATTGTATAGAGTTTATTAGCATCGCAAAAATCCCAAAATATTTGCCAAAGAGAATTTACATATTTTTTACTAAATATTTTAAATCAGTGTAAGGAATTTTCATACTGAAGTGCATTTTTCGCAGCACTATCAGCCTTAGTGTTTCCAGAGATACCAATATGGCCTGGACTCCAACAAAATTCAACAATTCTACCTTGATTAATGAAATTATGGTATTTGGATTAAGATATCTAAAATGTATGGGTGATCAATACATACTGTTTATGTATTGTAAACAGGAGAGGGAGTCTGAAAAAATTGTAAACATGTTATCACTAGATGATTGTATATAATCAAATGCAAGTTGTATTGCCTTTGCTTCGGCTGTAAAAATTGTTGATTCATTTGGAATTCGGGTAGAAAACACATTATTTTCAACCACTGCAGCGGCAGCAACTTTCTTTTTGTCTTTTGAACCATCTGTATAAATCTCGATTGTGGAATGTTTGGATTGTTTAAGTTCTGCTAATTTTTGTTTGAAAACAATGGGATTTGTTTCTGACTTTATGAATTCTGTTAGGGTAGTATTTACAAGTGGTTTAATTAATTTCCATGGCGGTATTTCAGAACGAGTAGTAGGTTTTACAATATTCAAAGGTAGCTCGGAATCCTTGAATCTAGAGCTTTAGTACATTTTTCTTTAAGCATTTTGATATGTGGAATAAAAGACAGTTTTTTATCAAATATGACACCTAAAATTTAATCTTAAACTTTAAGTACTTTTATTGTATCGCCATCTAATTGCAAATGCGGATCATCGTGGGCTTTTCGTTTGGAACAGAAATGTACGCATATGCATGCAGTTTTGTTTTTTGAAAATTTAAAACCATTCTCTTCGGCCCAAATTTGTATTTTGTTTAGACAAGACTGTAATTTTCGCTCAATTGATTTCATATTTTTGGATTTGTAACAAAGGACAAAGTCATCAACATATAAACTACCAAGCATGTCATTTTTAAGTACTTCAGCTAAACTGTTTATTTCTATACTAAATAATGTGACTGATAGGATACTTCCTTGCGGTAAACCCATTTCTTGGTTAAAATTGTTTGAGGTTGTAGACCCTAAACGTACATTAAAATTTCTGTCATTTAAAATTTTTTTGATAAATATAAATTTCCTTTGAGGCCAATATTAAAAAGATCTCTCATGATACCATATTTCCAAGTAGTATCGTATGCTTTTTCCAAATCAAAAAATATAGATACTGCATGTTCTTTTTTAACAAAGGCATCTCGAATATAGGTTTCCAGCCTTACTAGATGGTCTATTGTACTTCGGTTTTTTCTAAAACCACATTGTATATTTGTTATAATATTATTAGTTTCAAGAAACCATATCAAGCGTTCATTGATCATCCGTTCCATGGTTTTGCATATGCAGCTTGTTAAAGCAATTGGTCTATAGTTATTTGGATCTGCATGGTCCTTTCCAGGCTTTGGAATAGGAATAATTGTTGCCTGTGTCCAGGATTGTGGAAAATTACCTTTTTCCCAGATCGTTTTAAAAATTCGCAAAAGACATTCTTTGCTGCTTTTTGGAAGGTGTTTAATTAATTGATAATGAATCTGATCCGGTCCCACTGCTGTATCATGGGATTTATCTAAGGGTTTTTGTAATTTATCGAAAGTAAATGGTTCATTATAACATTCTTTGTTTTCAGAAGTGAATTCTAATGTTTTCTTTTCCTGTAAATTTTTATAAGTTATAAAATTATTGTTCATCTTACTTGTCGAGGAATTTCTAGCAATTGCTTCGGCTATTTCATTTGAAATTTCTTTTTGATCTGTGACAATTTGATTTCCAACATTAAGATGTTGATATTTTCCGCCAGAACCTTTTCCTTTTATTTTCCTTATAGCATTCCAGATCTTGTGAATAGGTGTATGTGAATTTAGATTTGAAACAAAATTTTTCCAAGACTTTCTTTAACTGTAATTTATAGTTCTTCTGGCTTTTGCTCGGAATATCCAAAAATTATTAAGATTTATAGAAGATGGTGATTTGTGAAAAAGTCTTTCTGCTTTTTTGCGAGCTTTAATAGCTGCATCGCATTCTTCTGTAAACCATGGTTTTTTGATTCTCGTAGAATTCGTTGAGGTTTTAGGTATGCACTCATTTGCCGTGTTTAATAAAATTTCAGTAAATTTTTGAATAGGGTCAGGATGATTTTCAAATTTATCCGCCGAAATATTTTGTGAACATAAGTATTCAAATTGAGTCCAATCAGCCTTGTTTAATTTCCAGTGTTGAATACAACTGTTGTTTGAAGGTTTGTTTTGTTTAATAATGATAGGAAAATGATCGCTTCCGCACAGATCGTCATGTACGGACCAATCGAAATCTAAAAGTAAAGAAGGGTCCACTATACTGATATCTATCGAGGAATATGAACCATTTCCTGGATGTAAATAAGTGTTTGAACCGTCATTTAATATACATAAATTGTGATGAGATATAGCATCTTCCAGTTTTTTACCTTTATCTGTTATTTTATCACCACCCCACAGCGGATTATGGGCATTGAAGTCTCCCATGAGAAGAAAGGGGGCAGGAAGTTGTTGAATTAATTCCGTTAATTCTTGAGACTGTAAATGATAATTTGGAGGGATATATACAGAACAAAGTGTAATTGTTTTATCAAGAGAAAGACGTATGGCTATTGCTTGTAAATTTTTTTTGAAATCTATCTGACTATGAAAATATTTGTTATATATTGCTAAAGAAGAACCACCAGAGGCTCTTTCAGTCGGAGCAAAATGGTTATACATAATGTAGTTTTTAACACTTATCTTATCGGTTTCTTTTAGATGTGTTTCTTGAAGACATATTGCTACTGGGCAATGGTCCCTAATAAGTAAAGATAATTCGTTAAAATTAACTCTAAACTTCGACAATTCCACTGGATAATTGTAGGATGATTCATTTTTTTTTATTGTGGGTGATAGGAGATATCCTCCCATTACTCTTTTTTGGGGAAAGGTTTCGGTCTTTTGAAGAAGATTAATGTGATGTAGTAAAATCCATTTCTTCAAGGACCCCGAATTTATTATGTAAAGCAACGGGGTCTGTTGTACCCTTTGGTATCCGATCACTCAACTGTTTTTTGGAAGGAGACGTGTTTTGTCTCCCAGATGGTCTAGAAGTAGCTGCAGGCCTGGATACAGCCGCAGCTACAGGTTTTGGCGCAGCCGCAGCTGTAGGGCCCGCAGAAGCAGGCACTGTTTTCGTTTTACCTTTGTCATTAGATGACAAAGACACTTTTGAAGAAGAGGTCTGTTGGAGAATATCATCCTCGCAGACCTGTGTGGACATATCCTTCAATGAGGATGTTTTCAAAACTGTTGCATATGATGTCAATTTAGGTGTCGGAACACTATACAGGTTAACTAGTTTTTTTTTGCCTCTGGATAAAGTACTCGTTTTTCTACTTTTAACTTTCTGTATTTCCTTTTCTTTTTTCCACAGTGGGCATTGTTTTGAAGACGCCATGTGTTCTCCCTTGCAGTTTTTACACTTTGGGTCATTCTGACAAGTTTTGCCATCTTGCCCCTCCTCACCACACCTGAAGCATGTTTCCGAGCATTTACAATTCATTTGCCCATGCCCAAATCGCTGGCATTTAAAGCAACGCAAGGGGTTGGGTACAAATATTTCAATTTTCATTTGGTACAGTCCCACTTTTATATTAGTTGGTAGAGTCGGCATAGCAAATGTCAAAAGGTAAGTGTTTGTAGGTTTAATCATTTCATTACGCTTTTTTGTGAACCGTTTAACAGAGATCACTCCCTGGGATTCCAATTCATGTTGGATTTCCTGTTCAGGAATACCATCCAGGTCGTGATCCCTGTCAAACAAGATACCTTTACTCTGGTTTAGTCCACTGTGAACTTTTCCGAGTACCGGGATATCTGCCAACATTTTAAGAGCCAACAATGAAACTGAATGTTGTTTCTTGCTTACTTCAATAAGTAGAGCTCCACAGATTTGGGCGTACCAATAATTCCTTGTATGCCTTTTTGTATAATGAAAGGCGATATTTTTGTTAAAGGCTTTTTTTGCTGATCTGATAACTGTGCTTCAAGTGTGATGAAGCGGGGCCAGTGTTCCGCAACAGTTTTTAATTGCTCATCATTGAAGGAGTCTAAATCTGATGGGTAAGAACGTTTTTTAGAAGAAGCCATGGTTATATGAAGGAAGTTCAGAATCCTTGCTCCCCGCCCGCCTCGGAGCGCCAACAAGGGCGATATCTAGTCAAACGGACATCCAGTAAGACCGACACCAAGAGGATACAAAGAAACTATACTCAGACATGATATGCCTGATTGACCCTAAGCTACCGCTTAATTTAAATATCAATATGGAAACGTCGGCGTATTGGTAAGTTGCAAAACATGTGAACAATTGTTGAATAGGACATTGCAAAAACATCAATACTAAAGGAATATAGATATAAGCTCGGCGTGAATAGCCGATTGATCAAGTCGGGCCAAACTTGACCTCCCGTCTAGATGAATATGGGGGCCAAAGTGGAGTGTTGGCGAGACAGGTGCATTACACACAGCACCTGCAGACCTCAGCCACCCGGATCCCCTTCTCCACCAACACGGGTCGCAACCAACGGCCAACAGGTTGCCCTATTTCGTCGCCTTTTACGACATGCAAGGAGGTGCCAGGGACCTATTCTTGTCACCCCGGATCCCCACGGGGGCGCAGTGATTAGAGCGTTCGCTCTAGAGTCGCGGAGTAAGGAGTTGATCCTTACGTTGCGGGTTCGAATCCCACTGTGGGACGTGGAGACCGGTCCTTCAGATGAGACCGTATAAACCGAGGTCCCGTGTCGCAGTAGGTGCTGGCACGAAAAAGATCCCTCACTGCTCAATGGCCCTGAGGTGCCGAGCATAAATCAAAATTTGCAGCTCTCCAACGGCAAGTGGTGACGTCTTCGTATGAGTGAAAAATTCTCGAGGTGGACGTTAATCAATAACACAAACAATGTTTTGATGATGAATATTCGATGGTGCAGCTCTGCGCTCATATAATGTATAACTGGTGTTGATATTTACCTTAAATAATGTTTGTACATATATATATTCTGAGTTGTCATTCTACTGTTTGTTGTTTGTATAGGGTTTGAGGAGATCATGAAGTACAATCTTGGGCTTTAAGTGTTTGTTTTTCTGGATCTTGAAAATGACCAGGGTTCTCCACATTTGAAAATTTAACCATGGAGGAAGCTGCGCGAAGGCGAAAACACGAGTAATGATGTGACCGAAAACACGAATGCGTGTTAGACTTCCTAACCTTCGTTAATCAATGAACTTATAATTACTGCAACACAAAAAGTTGAAACAACTAATCTAAAAAATATAAATAAGAATAAACATGATAAAAAAGATTAATATGTATCTTTCTTTACAAATGTGTAACAAAATCCCAAGACTGTAGGAACAATTTGAAGGAATTCCAAAAAGAAAAAAATTGATCGAGTAACCATGGCAACATTATAAAATTAATATATACAGAATTGATGTTGCCTGTTGTATGAAACGTTTTATTTTAATATGAATAAAACTAATGAATGGGTAGCATTTTTTAAAAGTTAACAGACTCGCAAACACCGACATCCTATCAATTAATGACTCAGCTTTTTTACTGCATGGTCTATGAAAACTTACTGATGGCATGCATGGTAAAAGTAACTAAATATAACCAGGGGCATAAATTTGAAATAACTGTAATTTTGCTTTCTCTTTTTTGTTTTTCTTTTAATCCTAAACGTTCTTTTTTTTCTGCATATTGTATTTTCGCCGATTTTCCTCTTTTGTTTACTTCTCCACGTGCTCCAGTGCTAAAAATAGATCCACGCGACGTTTCATAAGAACGGAAGGTAACTCTAAAAGTAATACTACCAGTGGCACTGATGTACATTTTATCAGAAAGAAAGCATATGGAATTGATTAAATACAAAGAATATGAAATGTTGATCATGTTGATAGGGTCATTATTTTTTTTCTTTGCACAGACACTTGAATCGGACGCTTGCCGATTTCCATGTTGTTACTGCTCATTTCTATGTCATCTGTTAAATTTGTTATCGTAATGAGAACACGTTGGAATTCCCCGAAATTACAAGTGTACAGGATAAATAACTATGAAGATATTGATTATCAGCTGATTGACTCTCCATTGTCACGCTTCATAGCATAATCGCCGATCAACGACCGTGTTTGATTAGCATTGTCCGCTTTCCCTCGAGGCATGCCAGGTGCACTGGCAGTCGTTGTATAAACACAATTAACTACTCAAGTCATTAAAAAGTAGGTGTCAACACTAAAATGCAATAAAAATTTAATCATGGCGGCCAACGATTTTAACCATGGCGCAGCTCGTTTGACCATGGCGTACATAAATTTAACCATGGCGGGCCGCCATGGTAAAACCCCTTGTGGAGAACCCTGAATGACATCATTCAATTTTGGTATGACGGTGTAGGGGCCCTCCCATTTACATTGTAGCTTGGGGCAGAGAACCTTAGACCTTTTTGGGTTGAATAGCCACACTAATGCATAAGTTTCTAGTTGTAATACATTTGACTGTTTGTCATATCGGCGCTTCATGTTATATGAAGACAGTTGGAAATTTTCTCTTGCAAATTGATGAATTTTCTCTATTCGCTTCCGGAGTTGGAATGCATATTCTTCACTATAGTCTGGAAGATTGCTATCTTCTATAGGGGTCCCATATAGCACTTCTATAGGTAAGGTGACTTGTCGACCAAACATCATCTCATCGGGGGTAACTTTTGTCGTTTCATGCACTGAAGATCTGTAGGCTAACATTAACAAGTATATATGTTCATCTGAGTCTCTGATTCTCTGAAACAAAAGCTGATAACATGTGGTTTATGGTTCGATTTCCTCTTACGGCCATTCCATCAGAGATTGGGGATGAAGGGGGGGGGGGTTTCTAGTTTTCTGAATTCTTAGCAACTCACACACTTGCTTGAAAACTGTAGACTAAAACTTGTACTTTGGTCGGTATGGAGCTGTAAAGGTGTTCCAAATATGGACACTATGCTATTAACAAAAACTTTCGCTATTGTGGTAGCATCTTGATCCTTTATGGGGATGCCTTCTAACCATTTGGTGAAGTAATCACCGATTACTTACAAATTGTTATTTTCCCTTACTAGTTCTAGGAAATGGACACAAAATATCCATTCCTTCAAAAGGTGCTCCAACATTATACTGTTGTAGATGTGCCCTCCACTTCTTTGGAAGTGGCTTCTTGCTTCCACAGACACCAGCTCTCTACGTCTTTCCTCAAGTGATGCCCGTAATATCTTTGCTGAACTTTAATTAAAGTTTTCTTAATTCCTAAATGTCCCCAGTGATTCCATCATGAAGTTGTCTAAGAATCGTCTCTTTTGCTAATTCAGGTATAACAACTAACAAAGAGGTAAAACCTCTTGTGTTTTCAAACTTGTAATATAAGATGCTATCTTTTAGTTCTAATGAATCCCATCTATGCCAGTAGAATTTCAAAGTATTACCCATTGTAGCAATGTCTGCCCATTCAAGGTTATGCCCTATCTCTTTGACGTTTATATTAACTTTTCGTATGGGATCATTTCTCTGGTGTTCCTTGAATGGTGTTAAATCTTCAGCTATTGCTGGTGTTCTTCTGTTTTTTGACCTTGTTATTGCATTTCCTTTTCTAGAAATTGTCGTTCCTGTCTGTCCTTCTTTTGACTCGTTATTTTCTATTCTTGTACAGTGTGAACATCCTGGTCCAACACAGGATCTGCGACTAAGAGCATATGTATTGTTGTGACTTCTGCCTGCTCTGTGTTGAATCTCAAAATCGTACGTAGCTAGTACCTCAAACCATCTGGCCATTTTGTCCCTCAGGTTTCTTGAAGTTAAGAAGCCATCTAAGTGCTCCGTGATGTGTTCTAATAATAATGTGACGACCATACAAATAGTGACGAAAGTATTTCAATGAGCTTGCTATGACCAGAAGCTCTCGTCTAGTGACGCAATAACTCCTCTCTGGCTTTGTAAAGATTCTACTGTAGTATGAAACAACTTTTTCTGACCCATCCTAGACCTGAGATAATACTGCTCCCAAACCAACTTAACTGGCATCAGTGTCTAGGATGAAAGTACCTACTTCCATAGGGTTAGATAGAAATGGGGCCGTAATTAAAGCATTTTTCAAAGTTTCAAATGACTGTTGACATTCTTCATTCCTTTAAAATCTAGTTCATTTTTCTGTTAATCTGTGTAAGGACTTCGCTTTATCTGCAGAATGCAATATGAATTTTCTGTAGTAGGATGTCAATCCAAGGAAGCTCGTTACTTCTTTTATAGACTTTGACGATGGCTATTCTTTGACTGCTTTGATTTTGTTTGGATCTGTTGAAAAACCATTTTCAATGACGTTGTAACCTAAGAAGAGTACCTCATTTTGACAGAGTTGACATGTATCTGGACTCAACTTTAGGTAGGCTTCTCTTAATCGATCATACACCGATTTTAGGTTTTCGATTTGTTTATCAAATGTTTTTTGAATGAACAATAATGTCGTCTAAGTAGACGAGACAAATATCATATGACTAACCATGTAGTATTCTCTCCATAAGCCTCTCAAATGTGGCAGGGGCATTACACAGCCCGAAAGCCATTACAGTAAATTGCCAAAGTCCTCCATCTGGATAAGAAAATGCTGTTTTCTGTTTGTCACCCTCTGCGAGACCCACTTGCCAGTAACCTGACTTTAAGTCATATGTACTGTAATATTTTGACACTGACAGTGCATCTAAAGTGTCATCAATTCTGGGTAAAGGATGTGAATCTTTTATGGTAATGTCATTTAACTGGCGAAAGTCGACACATAATCTAAGAGAACCATCTTTC